GAAGGCCTGGTCAGTCTGTGCCGAGGATGCCACAAGCTACAGATCCTTTGTGTGTCTGGCTGCAGTAACATCACTGATGCCTCCCTCACTGCAATGGGACTCAACTGTCCCCGACTCAAGTGAGAAACACACACACACATATAAGGCCAGAAGGACATCAATAGCTTCCTTCAGTATACACAAAATATCCTTCTAAAGCAGTGTGATTAACTATCATTTGCAAAAATTGTCTAGAATCTTTGTAGAATCATTTGTGGTCCCTTTTTAATCAGTGCTGTCATTCCACACACTTAAAAGTTGTGAAAGACAGGTGCACCAGAGTAATCACACAAAAAAAGGAAAGGACCCACACACTGTCTAAAGCTTGGAAATAAAGGATTGAACCCATTCATAACCAGTTGCTGGCTCTGCGTAGCCTTTACAACTTACACACGTTTGTTCTCAGGATCCTTGAAGCTGCACGATGCTCCCATGTTACGGACGCTGGGTTCACTGTACTGGCGAGGGTGAGATTCATTTAGCTCTCTTTGTTCCGTTATCTCTTCTGTGAACCATTTGTTGGCTAGACCGTCCATTTCCCCATTTTCGAGATTCATCGAACGATTTCTGTTTTTCCTCACAGAATTGTCATGAGCTTGAAAAAATGGACTTAGAAGAATGTATTTTGGTAAGACAATTTGTGATGTGTGTGATTTATTCTAGACATCATGCTCATGGTATTTATTTATGCTTTGATGCATTTGTCCAGGTAAAGATTAGACTGTAGGAAAAAGACAGTTGTGATTGTATGCCTGGCAGGTTATGTTTTCTGCCGAGAGAGAGAGAGCACTCCGATTACCTCAGTATTTAAATTGATTTTGACAGAAAGCAGAGAGGGAGACAGAAAGTGACATAAGAAAAAAAGAGTTTTAGTGGGACGGGAACATGCAGCGCATACTTAAGACTCTCAACTGTCTGTAGACATGTGAAAAAAGTACGTTAATCAAGCTTGTCCTCTCAACAGGTGACAGATAACACCCTGGTTCAGCTGTCCATCCACTGCCCTCGCCTGCAAGCACTGGTAAACATTTAGGCCTACAGTTCTGATTTTGTGCCAGGTTCTTCCTCAACCTGTCTGCTTGCGTATGGAGCTTTAATCCATCTATCTGTTTGTCTTCAACCCTGTCTGCTGTACCCTGGACAGTCCCTGTCCCACTGCGAGCTGATCACAGATGATGGCATCAGAGCTCTGAGCAGCAGTACCTGTGGCCAAGAGCGCCTCACTGTGGTGGAGCTTGACAACTGCCCCCTCATCACTGACGTGACCCTGGAGCACCTCAAGAGCTGCCATCGTCTGGAGCGCATTGAGCTCTATGACTGCCAGCAAGTCACCAGAGCTGGCATCAAACGCATCCGGGTCAGTGGAAATAACGGGGAACTGAAAGCTGTTCTAATCACATCGAATCGGCTCTCGTTGGGGATTGGTTCACTTGTTAAAAACACTTCTCTGCTCAGTTCTTCTCTACATTATTTTATCTAAAAATCATATACTGTAGTTTAAACTTGAATTAAAGAAATAGTTGAGCATTTTTTAAGTTACACGTATTATCTTTCTTGTCAAGAGTTAGATGAGATAATTGATACCACTCTCATATACATGTGTTAAATATAAGGCTATGGTCAGCAGCTGGTTAGCTTAGCATAAAGACAAGAAAAAGGGGGAAACAGCTAGCATAGCTCTGTCCAAAGGTTAAAAGAATCTGCCTAACAGCACCTCTAAAGCTCGCTAATAAACGTGTCACAATGTGTTTGTTCAATACGTAAAAACTGAAGTGTAAAAACAGCAATACGGTATTTTACTGGGGATCAGGTGCCTCACTATTTTGGAACAGTAACTAATCAGCGGTGACTCCAGGAAATGAATGTCTATGACTGCTTCCAGTCTTTGTGCTAAGCTAAACTAATCGGCTGTTCATACACTTTTTTCTGTGTCTTCGTGTCTTTTTACTCTGTTGTATTAACACACCTCTTCCCTACACAGGCCCACCTTCCAGAGATCAAAGTCCACGCCTACTTTGCCCCAGTGACACCCCCTCCCTCTGTACATGGAGGTGGCCAGCGTCTGTGCCGCTGCTGCATCATCCTCTGACAGTGGAGGGCCAGGGGGGGCCACCTCTGTCTACAGGTCCTGCTGCTCTGACATGGGCTGAAAATGGGTCGGGGGGGGGACTAGGGTAGGTGTAGGGGAGAGGAGGGGCTGGACCCACTCACTGCTCCTGATCAATGATCAATACATAGACTGATCACCACTGATCCCTGATCAGTTGAACCCCGCCCTTCCTCTCCTCTTACTCACCGATCAGCAGTGCAGAAGCCCCGGGTTTGGGGCGTGGAGGGGTGGGTGGAAAGAACATGGCTGGATGGACTTTTTCTCTCTCTGTCTCATTCTCTTTCTCACTGTAAAGGCAAAAACAGGTTCTCCACTCCTCTCTGCTCCTCACACCCCTGACTCTCCACCTGTGGGCGTGGAGGACTGCATCTGCACAGCTGGAGATGGGGGAGGGAGTCTGAACAGTGGAACAACAATGCATCATGTTCAAACAAAAAAAAAAAAAAAGAAAGATGATATTGTCATCTTGGACAACAGTTCGCTCTCTGTGGAGTATCATCTCAACCAATCACATGACACCTCTATGTGACCATCCTGTGATTCATTCTGCTTTGACCAATAAACACGCAGCATGGAAGGAGAGGAGAGCTGGGTCGTGGGGGAAATGCAAATCTTCTGGATATAAACAGTGACGCTTTGGCACAGCCAGCTCAACTCTCTAGTGTGGAAGAGTTGAGACGAAAAAACAGGAAGTACAGAATGGGACATGTGACATATTTGTGCATCTGAGAAACTTTTGTTGAGATTTTGATTCTGTTCGTACAGAGAATGTTTTGCAAATGGAAAAAAAAGAATTACACTTTAGGCAAATCACTCAAACTTCGGGTAGGCCAACAAAAAATGGTTTTATTTTCTTCTTTTTTTTCCAGTGCTTATTGTAATTGTCCATGCCTGTCTATCCAGAGAGGGAGATATGTTTGTCATTCTTTTTTAAACAAAAAAGAAAAAAACTGTTACTGCTTGACAAAAAAAAGGACCTATGATTCAGACCCTCAGCGTCTAAAAGCGTGTTGACTGTGTATGCTGATAGGATGAGTGGCCTCTCCTGTGCACTACGTGGTTATGTTGGCTCGTAGGCCCTGATCCAATCCTGTCAGTAGCCCTGTGCACTAGCTCCTACTTGACCACTTAAGAATTTGTTTACATTCTGGATTAGGTTAGCACCACAGACAAACTTGTTTACATGAGTAGGTTTCCAGTCTCCCTACAATTCAGAGTGAGTTTAGTAACACTGAAACAAATGTGGTACACCCACTGTTTTCAATTGGACTGTGGAGTTCATTATTCAGATGTATTGCTGTGTGTATTTGGATATCAATCAGGGCTAACGGTGGTGCAACTTTGCTTCAAAATGAAATGAAAAGCTGCTTAAAGCTGCTTAAAGCTGAAATGACAGGTATAAGAAAGTGAGCAAAGGCACCTCAACTTTTTGACAATCACGTGAATTTATGTATTTGAAAGTTAATTTAGTGTAATTTTGTGTAATTGGCATTTACTGATGATGTAGGATATAATGAATTATCTGTAGGCAATATACACCCACTTAATGGCCCGAGCAGCAAATGAGGAATTATTTAGAATTAGTATTTGACACAAGTCTAGTATGATCTGTCAATCTAAAATATTTAATTGACCAGCAACAAATTCCCACTCGTGCAATCCTACAAATCGTATGTGACAACAGGAATAGAATATGCAGTGACTGCAAAGCCCCAGAACCAGCAATTTATTTCACTCTATACAGACACTCCTTCAGACCAACAGGATCTCAACATTATCTGTCTTGCCATGCAGAACGACACACGTATGGGACATGACATACTGAAAGCACTGAAAATACAACAAAACACAAGCAGTTTGCAATATTGCTCTAAACAAGAGACTGGGAAGTGCTGTGTAGTGCCAAGTGCTCAAAGACTGGGGAGATTGGCAGGACGATGGATAGGACTGAAACAAGGAAAGCAGACAGACAGACTGAAGAAAGACTCAGATGAACTCGGATACATAGCTGACTTGACTGGCTGTGATACTAATGCCCTCTCTTTGACAGCTGTTTTAACAGTTTTATGTTTAAGAAAATAAAGAAATAAATGAAAAAAATAAACAAATGAATAAATAAAAGTGACTAATAGTAAATGTGCTTTGTCTCTCTGGTGTGAGATTTTGTCTCCCAGTATCTAAAGCAGGGGTCTCAAACAGTTGGCCCCAGGGGTAATTTCTGGCCCTCAATCCCCGTCCCTTTGGCCTGAAACCGCTATTGTAAATATAATATAACTCACCCACAAATTCAATATTATTTTATACGTCTTTCATAGCAGTGTGAACTACCCCCTTCACATAAAATGATAATTAATTATCAAGCAAGGTGATGATGTAAAAGTGTATAGAAACTGCCGTTTGCAGTTTTTTGTTTAGTATGAAGTTACCAGTGGACGTTTTTCGGGAATACTGCGTTTCCTTGTAGTACCTAAACGTTAAAGTGGCCCTCCTATGACAGCAGTGGCGCCAATACAATTTGAGTTTGAGACTCCTGATCTAAAGAGTACTTTTTTAATAAACTGCGGCAAACTAAATACAGACCACACCGCAGCTAAAGCGCTAGATGTCACCCGAGAGCCGTGCAGACAGCAGACACACCCACATAAACAGCGCGGTGTGTCTGATACACAAGAAATAGAAATTATCTTCCCATAAGTAATGACAAAAAAAATAATTTTATTTACTTCTTGTGTACCTATTACCCTATTTATCCACAGTGCAGTTGATGATCTGATATTTTACATCAGGCATTATGCTGGCCAGCTGTGCGGTGCCCGAAGACCCATCGGCCTGATCGTTGATCGGTTGCGCCCCCTGTAAACTGCAGTCCCCGGCAGCAGCAGCGCAGCCTTTCAGCGCCTCCTCACAGGTTGAGCGGTAGCGGCGATTATTCTCGGCTTAAAGAGAAACCAGTTACCGCGGGACTGGAGCTGAGCCCTTATTGTGGGAGTTTGGTGCAACTTTACCGCTGAAGGACTCGACAGCTGGAAGCTCAGCAGACTTTCCAGCCTGTGGTCATGGAATAGAGAAGCGGAGAGCAACCGGGCGTTAGGCCTGCGGATCACTGACGTTAGCCAGCCGAGCTAACTGAGCTAGCTGATGAGAGGCGGTCTATCCTTGTTTGGGTCGCTGTGCTAACTAGCTAGGTGCTATTTTTTGTTAGCATAACAGACAGCCAGCCAGGATTGATAGGCTGTTTTGATGCGGATATATTGAAGGAACCTGCTGGTGTGCACTACTATTAGCTGAACTTTCTTGAAGTAGTAAGTTATAAGTTAAAGTTAACCTTCTGAGCTAATGTTGTAACGATATAGTGAGGGAGCTAGCGAGCAACGTCTTTGTCATACAAAGTTGAGCTTTTGATTTGGGCAGAAGGATGATTTGTGAGATAAATTAATTGTATTTTTTTATTACAAGGGATTGTATGTTGATGAACAAACATCCGATAGACGCAGTCCAGATCACACAGTCTCTCTGCCCCTCATCGGGACTACAAATAAAACCTTTTTCGGACCCCGTCGCACCGACCACTGTCTCTTGTCTTCGGCTGGCTTCAGTGGCTGGCCACACGGCACCGAGTGCCCAATGGAGGAACATGACAACATGGACTATTTTTACCAGCAGGTAGTGCAGAAAGACGTTACCCGCAGGTTGCAGGTCGGTCAGGACCTCATTGACTACCTGAACGACCCGCAGCGCTCCCCGGACGTGGAGCAGGACAAACCCCGGCTGGATAAGACTGTGGACGAGCTAACGGGATGGGTGAACGCCAGCAATTTCAAGGTGAGAGATCTTGGCCAGTCTTGTGAGTATCGCGGTGTCACTGCAACAGTCAACCCCCGTCGGTCGTTTCATAGGATTTAAATCTCCAGCACTTTAGCCAGTGAAATGGTGATGGGAATTTATTGTTATTGGCCAAGAAGTTGGATTCAGTGCACTTCAGCAGAGGCGATTTCAAACGAGTTGTCATCATGTAGTGGTATGAAGAGGACCATGTGATCTCCTGTAAATCAGAGCTCATAAAACTGGTAGATAGAAGATTCACGATTTTATTTTGCGTTTTCATACAGCACAAAACTGAAGGATGTGTTTCTTTTTTAACGTCCTGGTAGCCCATTCCTGGATCACAAGAGGCAGACATTTTTAAATGTCATCCCAGTCGGAGACAGAGTAGGAGGTTTGCAGGGCATTCCTGTGGTTTGTTGAAGTTTAGATCATTGTTTCAGCTGAGACTGTGTGTCTGTGTTGAGGGGACCCATTGTCAGCACTGTACTACATATTACTGGAGCACTGGGTGGGATGGAGGATGGGGGAGGGGTTAGGAGACTCATTGTTATGACCTATGTCTGCTCTCCATCGCTCTTACACACATATAGACCCACGCTCTCATTATCTCCTTTAGCCTTTTCACACATTTTCACTTCATACTCTGTGTGTTTGTGTGTGTGGCCTTTCCTGCACTCTTTGCCATATCACAAAAAACGCTGGAATGTGACATTTTTGCCAAGGTATCACATCGGTCCAGACGGCAAGTTAAAACAGTCTGAAATCTGTTTTCGAGGCGTGCTGAAATTGGACTCCTCTCACTCTTTTTGATGAACATCTGATTAACATTGTCTGCACTGATAAGCAGGAGTCAGCAAGACTGTAAGAGCGTGGAAATGGTGCTTTTCTTTCGTCCTTTCTTGGTCTCTCTTTCTAGTGGTTGAAAATGCTCATTTGACTCGGTTGTTATAATCTTTTAAAAACAACGTGGTCAACTAATTCCCATTTACTACGGAGAACTTGATAAACATTAGCCAATACCGCTATTTTAATTGGCTACACTTATTTCAAGCACCAATACAACAAGTATCTCACATTTGTTTTCTTTTAGAGACAAATGAAGACTTAAATCATTAGGTGCACATATTGGACAAAACAACAGTTAAGGATTTATAAATTTTCCTTCACATCCTCCAATTTCTAAATAATTACAGATTCTGCACTGTCCCATGATATTCTAGTTTTGCAAACCTCAAAACAAATTTATGGTGCCGATAGTGCTTTTAAATTGATTATAGATGGGAGAACTGTAGACATTTGCAGAAATAGGGGAAAAAGTGGAGGTGGAGTTTTTGTGGTTTTGTAGTTTTAGATCTAAAAGATCTTTCTTAATTTGAGAGAACCATTCTTTGTTTACTATGAATGTTTGCAGTTTAGACTAGAACATTAATCAAAGGTGATTTTTAAAAAAAATTTATTATGTTGTACGCTTCAGGCTTCTCTTCTTCGTCCACCTCCATGAATTTCATCCCAAGCTGCAACAAGCTAATGTGTCCCCTTTGTTCAGATTTGTTTTTTTCTGTGGATGACACATACAGTAACCTGAGCTCAGATCAGAGTCTGGCAGTGATGAGCGAGAGACCCCCCGAGGTCTTCACATAGCAGGCCTTTGGTGATTCTGATTGGCTCCCTGTCGGGCAAAAGGACAGAGGACTTAGCTGTAAGCAAGATGCTGAGTCAGCACACAGAGAAGGAAGAAAGGAGTGATGACGGGAGAGGTGGAAAATGAAAGAGGAGTTAAAGGGGGATTTGAGAGCTGGAGTGATAAATGGGGTATGGGTAGGGGAGCGGAAAACATAAGTCACGACTCATAAATACATTACATGTTCAGATAGGCCGACTGTTGCACCCAAGTTCCTCTTTTAGGAAGGGATAAAATGTTGTATTTCATCCGTCCCTTGTCTCTCCTCATCTCTCTGTTTCACTTATGTGACTTTGTCTGTGCCTTTTTTTGGCAATGAGTCAGTTTCACCCTCATCTTTCAATAGGTTGAAGAGCAGACTCACTTTATATGTTTTGCTCTTGCAAAATCACAGAGGGCTCAGTGCCTGAAGGCATTAATTTTGCATGATGCATTTATGGGCACAGTGCTGATTTTAAGATACAATAAGGAAACCGATCAAACCCAGTCTGCAGGTAGCATTTACCAGTTAAAAGTGTCCACTGCAGTATTAAATATTCTAATTTCTCTTTTGTTAGTCTGCAGTTATTGCAAATTCAACTCTTTGTGCAGGTGGTTAACAATGGAAACCTTCCAGTACGGAAAACTGATTGCAGCTTTTAAAATTTTTTTGCCTGCTTTATTAACCGTAGATTGGTGGTTAGGAGAAGAGCTCCAGGTGCTTATTGCAGTTTGATCAAATCTCAGTGCTCAAATACAGAAAATGGAGGTCTGCTTTGTCTTTCCCATTATGTTGCCATCATCTCAGCAATGTTAGGCACCACCCACACCCTTAGGAAAATGCTGTAACAATTAAAAAAATGTGACTGTGCCAATATAGCAATAATAGGCTGAATGTTATCTGGTACTTCATGAAACAAAGGCACCATTTCCCATTTCTTAATACCACAAAATTTAGTGTGACAACAATTTGCCTACCAATCGCCCAGTGTCCACCGTGATGAAAGTGAGTATATATTTAGCCACACAGCGTGAGCAGGGATTTGAACTTCCATGAGCCTCCCATAGGAACCTGTAAATATGTGCTGTTTTTGCTTGATAAATGGCTCGAACATTAATAGTTGTTGTTTACTAACTGATCAACTAATGGATTAAAGTCCAAATAGTTTCAGCACATTTTGTCCACTCTCAGATGTTGCTGTGTGAGCCTTTGACCCTGTTTTTCTGTCCAAAACTCACTTTAAGCCTCCCTAGAATCCAGAGTAAACCCTGTACATGGTATGCGAATTAACAGCCTAAGCCATCGTACGCGCCAACCTGAGTCCTCACAAAGAACCATTCATACCGTGCTAAATATTTACTGTTTTTCCCCCCTCCAGTATACCTCAGTCACAGTGATGTTATGAAGCCAGAGATACAGCTGAGTTGTAGAACATCCTTTTAGACACTGCTTTGCCCACATGCCCGATGTTTTTTTCGTATTTGTGGGTAATACCTAAGTGCCCATTTGGCCTTTCTTCTTTCCTCCCTCATTCCTGCCTCAACCCTAGTCAGATCTTCACTGGAAAAGGCCTTTAAAGCAGGAGAAAACCTCCATTACAAATGTTTATTCCTGTTCAAGGTAGATAACACACCCAGTCCCTTCCATCTCACCTCCACTATCTCCTCTCTCTCCAAGAGAAGATGCCATATGGTTGTGGGCGCGAGCTTGTTGGGGTGCTTGGGTGGAGGATGGAGGAGGGGGAGGGTAGGCCTCAGGGCTGTGTCCTTCCTGTACTGTTTCTTTCTCCTGCTGTTTTCCTTCCCCTCCTCCTCTATTTTAGATCAGTATGAGGGAGTCATCATAGTGACCCAGAGCTCATGTTTCTAGTCCAGGTGATTTTTGTTTTCTTTGGTATTACTTGGCCTTCGTCCTTGTATTTTACCTCACTGCCCCTCCATTCTCCCCCTTTTTATTACTGTGGTTACCTGGCTCTGCTCTTCCTTTGACTAAAATAGGGAAAAACTGCAGTCAACAGGACAGAGGAGTCTGGAGAATAATATTTTAATGGATTTTCTTTTTGGACTGTTCAGTGTTACCGCAGCACTGCCAAAACAAGCATTCCAGGAGCACAGCGCAGTGTGGGATGTGATCCTAATCAGAAACACAGTGGAAAACTCAACTTTACCACTAGACAAAAATCCAGCCTACCTTCCCCCTACGAGTCATATCACATGCCAGTTTTTCTTTTAGCTAGAGCACAGTGGCTGTAGACAAGGATCCCTTTAACAAACAACATGACATTGCATACATCTTTCATGTTGTCACCTCAACATTTTATTCTACAGTTGACTGAAGGCCTCTTTATGATGTGCAGAAAGTCATTAGATTATTACCAAATTTCCCAAAAGTGCAAATGAGTGATTCCATTAGCTGCTGTTACGCAGACGGTGTAAAGAGGGCACAGGAAGGTTACATAATCAAGAGTGCCACAGCTGTTAACCTCAGACACAGTATGGTATTATGTATGTATAAGTTTATGAGACTTTTTTCTGACTAACTAGAGTATCATCTCTATTCATACCAACAAGTTTTCAGCCTTAGCCAAGCACCATACACCATACAAAATAATCTCAACTGAAGAGTCCACTTTCAAAGTCTACTGGGGCTTTGCTCTACTTGTCAGGGTTTTTATCAGTGAATAGATCTGGCTCTGGTATAATCATCACCATAACAAGCCGTTGTATGTTGGGATCAGGGGTTTCCATTAGGGCTGCACAATTAATCGAAATATTATCAAATCACAAAATGCAAATCACATTTTTAATGTTTTTTGGGGGGTGAAAATTCAATTTGTGATGCAAAAATGATTGTGAATCACGATATCTGTAAAACATAATCACAATATGATGTTTTTACCATATTGTGCAGCCCTAGTTTACGTGCATATGTTCAAATGTAAAGCAAATATAACAGGTGGATGGAAAATCACAGTAGCCTGGTGTAAACCTAGTGCTGCTCACTCATCCCGCAGCCCTGTGTCATTTAATTATCACCAGACTGTGGAAACACCATCGATGGACAACCTGTTAAATCTGCGGTGGGGGGTGACATGGTAGGAAAGAAATATACTGCAATGAGAGAAACACTGGACTTCCAGTATGGACAACAAAAAAATAATTATTTTATTTTACAGACTGCTAAACCTTGCACTGGGTTTGGTGATGTGTGTTTGTTTTTTTACCCCATGAGACTCCCAAGTGGTTCAGTACAAATCAGTTCCAGTTTGAACTTTATTTCTGTCGTGAACTCAGCTGTAATTAGCTGTTGCCAGTCTCTGCTGGCAAACAGTCAGCCATGTTTCCACAGTGGCTCAGAACAGACAAACCAAACACTGGCTCTAGATTGCGCCTTTCACGTTTTTATGCGCGATTCACGGCCACCATAGTTTCCCCTACATGCTTGGAAAAGGAGTATGAGGCAAAAGCGTTACAATCAGCAACTACTACCGCTAGATGCCTCTGATTTCTACATACTGAGCCTTTAGAAAGCTGTGGGCAGACTGACTAGCCTGCATCTTGAAAGGGAGACATGGAGAGACTAATTCCTTGAACATGACAAAACTACCCGTTAAAGTCTTGGCTGTTAGCATAGTCAGCAGACTTGGGAGACGTTTGAGTCGGCATTTTAAAAATCAATTTGGGATGCCAAGATCAGACTTAAACCTCTGCTAAAATCTCTGCTATGAGAACCTAATTAAATCCTCAGCCCAGGTGTCTTCCTGTCACTGCTACCATTGTAGATGTGTAAGCATCTAGACAGTGAAACTGGTTGAAATGTACCTTTTTACATGAAAAGTACAGGAAACTGCTGTAAAATATCCTGAAGCCATGCTTATGTCCACTATAACCTTTGCCTCTGTTACTCTTTGTGTTTTGTAGGTGGCATTGTTGGGGATAGACATCTGTGGTGCGTTTGTGGAGCGTATGGGAGAGCGCTTCAAAGGATACCTGGGCACAGGTGAGATATCTAACTTATCCACTCCAAGAGTTTCCTTTAGGTTGTGCTCTATTTCCAGTGAAACTGATTCATGAAATGTTTTATTTGTTCTTAAACTGAGTTTGCACACTTGAAAGGGATTTTTTTTTCTTGCTTCTGAAATGCTGAAATACAAACAACTTTATGATACACAGAAAAACTTGTTATGTTTTGTGGGAGTTCACTTGTCCATGAAATAGATAGCAAACCTGTACAAACCTGTTGTCAGTCAGTATATAGCCAGCACACACTGTTAGAATTTAGTTTGTCATTCTTTGTGAAAGGGATTACATGAATGTCATTCTTTGTTCAGTTCAACAGGCTCAAAGGTAAATGTTCATCCTCCCATTATCTAAAGCAGTGAGAGCTAGTCAGGGATGGGTTTGCCCTCTTGGCTTTAGTCCAAGTAGTTTCTAAAGAGAAAAATGTATATATGGCTGAAATCAATACTATTTCCCAAACTGTACTCAGCAACTCTACTCTGTACTGTTACATGTGGGGTGGTTTGTGTATTGTTGTATAGACTCGTCAACATTTTGGCTTATGTCCGTCCATTTTGTCTCTCACTTCCACTTTGTGGTTCCTCTGAGACAGACCAGCAGAAGCACTGCTCTAAAGCCTGGCACCACCCCCTCTCTATTATACATCCTTTAGCCTCTATATTTAGGCTCTGAATTGTCTGCCACATTGTAGCTCTGTCTATTACACCCCAAAACCACACCTCACATTCATATGACCTCATACACTGAATCCCGTATCAGATTTCCTACTCTGTGAGTGTGTATGTGTGTGTTATGTCAGTGCCAGCCCTTGTGTGTGCCCGCTGAAGGTGTCACCAGCTGTCTTTGTCAGCCACACTGGCTCTTGTCCCCAACTAACACACTCAGTCCTGCAGTGAAGCTTTGAGCTTTGGATGACTGGACCTGTCACACTGTGCACTCTGCCACCACACTTTATCTCGCCCACAGTCTAGGACGGTGCATTAGCCCAGCGCTGTGTATGAGTGTGTGTGTGTAATGGAAGTGTGTGTTTTAGATTGATGGTAAAAACATCTCTCTCTGAGCCACCGCTGGCTCTGGAATCTCCCTCCCTCCATTTGACTTCCATCTCTCCTTTCCTGTGCTCTCTGTCCTTCTCCCTGCATCCACCCTCCTCCCACACACACTCAGAGGGGAGGAAGATGAGATCATTGAGAGTGAGTGATTGTATTGATCTACAGGACTGAGTCATTGTACTTGGTTGCTGCCATTACACTGTATGCTGTGCCATCGTGCAAAGTAACTCCCAGACGTGACATGGAAGTGAAACACACAGATCCTATAAGGCTGCACTTGATATTTTCTTCTTGTTTGCAGTGTGACAGATGAAATAAAGTGATGTGATTGGCCATCCAGCAGCTGTGTCATTTGCCAGTTTCATTGTTTTGTTGAAAAAGATGAAACAACTCTGTGAACTTGCCACATACAAGCTGTGTGTGTGTGTGTGTGTGTGTGTGTGTGTGTGTGGGTCCTTACTACAGATGACGTTGTATGCAACAATGCCCCCCCTTGTCATTTTTTCTGTTTGAGAGTATTGTCCTTGTTGCCAAGACAACCAGCTGTTATGGTAACATAATGTACGCATGCACGTGCATACACATACACACAGCACAGGAAAAAGACGGATGACATCACATGAGGTTGCAGACTAGGAATGCTGGTAGGAGTGTGTGTGTGTGAGTGTGTGTTTATGTGCTCATGCCATTCTGTGTGTGTTTCTGTTTATCTCATTGCATGAATGTCAAAGGGAGGTTTATGGTTTTATGTAACTCAGAAAGTTTAATGTTTTCCATTTGATGATCAAACAGAAAGATTCAGCTGATTTGGGCAGTTTGTTTCACAGGGTTGTTCACAGGGTTGTGGGTTTGTTGACTAAGACGAGCCATTTAAACCATGTTTTGGATTTTTGACTTTGTGAGTGAAGGGATAAGGCTGGTGATGTTTTTGTTGCTGTCAAAGACCAAAACCATGCCTCTGAATACTTCTCTGACTTCCCTGCAATGTTTGTGGCTCTCATCTAGAAGCCCATTACTTCCTCCTGAAAAACAATAGATATATACTGTCATTTACAAAAGGCAAAACATTTCTTAAAACAGCGGGTCGCTGTAGTTTTTAGCAAACGTGCCTGAAACAGGAGTAAATAGTTGGTGACTATTTTAAGCTGGGAATTTGGGACTACTGCCCATATATAAAAGGAGGACGCTGTATGTGGGCTTGACTCAAAAATAAACCACAGTGCTCATCATAATGAAGAAACACCATCACCAGTGCAAACTTTTGGTTCATTGATGTGTTTTTAATAGCTTTTGGACAACATTGTAAGTCTAATGGCACAGAGGAATAAGATATATCAAGCTACAATTCTTGTAGGAACAAATCATTGCGGCCTTTTCATGGGATTTGTTGATAATTAGAAAAATACAGAATAACACCAGCTTCGTCCTTTTAAATGGTCTCTTCACCACCGAAGATTATTTATTCATATTGCACCCACCGTTGGCAGGTCGTCAGATAAAAAACTGTCAAGTACCCGTTCATCTGATATTAAACCTTAAAATAGCTGACTCTGCTCCTCATTTCATAGAGGATTAGAGGAACCATTTGAATCCTGTAGTTGCCAAAATCCCTATAGTTCACTTGGCTGCCAGCGTTTAAAGGCTCTTACTTTTTATTCTTTACAGTGTGCGTCACTGCATTACATAGGCCGTGCTACTGGGGCAGTTATGTGTTCGATAAAGTGCAGCTGACATGAAAGCATTTGATGATCATGACATTATTTTAGTCACGGTCTATTTCTCATTTCCTGTCCTCTCTTTCCACTCATTTGTCAGAGCCCTGGTGGTCTTCTCAGCGCCCTGTTGTTCATTGTGGTATTGCTTAAGGTTTTATATTATGAGTTTTTGTCTGCTCCTCTCTCACACACCTACAGACTGTAACTTACGATCAGCATATATCTTGTGTGTTTTAAAGGCACTCCACTTGGGGGCAGTCTTTATTGTATTTTTTTAAGCATTTAAATCCGGTAGAGAGAGCCTGAGAGTCGTTTGTGGCCTAATTTCTCCTGAACTTGATGTAAATGCTGCACATTAAACTGCATTTTTCTGACTCTCATCACTGCCCCACCCTCTCTGTCTCTCTCTTGTTTCTCTTTTTCTGTCTGTAGTTCTGCCAGCTTTGGTGGACAGGCTGGGTGACGGGAAGGACCAGGTCAGGGAGAACAGCCAAGCTCTCATCCTTCGCTGTATGGAGCAGACTGCCTCGCCCATGGTGAGACACACACAGACATGTACATAAAAATCAGTGCGTTAGGACCCTGACTAGATAAGGCCTCTTATAATAAATGACAGAAAGATAGTGAGATAATTTTGATGTTGATCAAGACTAAATACTAGTTGTTCCATAGAGTTTCACAACTGCTGGAGTATTTCAAGTTTAGGCACCAACAGTAGATTGCATCTGTTAAAAAGTGTGTTGTGTCGTGTGTTTTGTATGCTGTTAGTAAAGTCAGTATATGCAATAGACCTATTCAGTTCAACTGCCGTTATTCCAGTTATTTCGAAGAATGCATAATCAAGATGGAGACGGTAGACAAATCACAGTCAGCTCTGCATCAGTAGATACTCACTGCACCTTAGAAGTTGGGCTCCCTCTTCTGGATATTAAATGAATTACTCAGGCTACATCTCCACTCTGCTTTGTGTTATCTACACACACACACACACACACACACACACACACACACACACACACACACACACACACACACACACACACACACACACACACACCTCCACAGATTGTAACCTCCTCTGTACTCTGTAATCTGCTCAAACCCCCAAGGAGCTGCCTGGCAGAACCTTTCTCTGCTCGATCCTACTGACACTGTATTTCTCTCCTTCTTTCTCTCATCTCTCCCTTTTCTCTCTCCTCCGCTTCCTCCTCCGTCCAGTACGTTTGGGAAAGGCTACTTCCTGGTTTTAAACACAAGAACTTCCGCAGTCGAGAAGGAATCTGCCTCTGTCTCAGTGCCACGCTCAGCACGTGAGTAACTTCCCCTTCTTAATCTGTATCACTTCCAGGGTGACGTTAAAGAATACATTGTAAATTGTGGGCAGAGGCTCATATGTTAGTCCTCACAATACATTCAAAATGTAAACATATAATATATCTAATTGTAGTACTTACTATAAACCTCATTGGTGTGTAGTATATACAGAACGTCTCTGCAATTTTAATACACTGACACCATACATCTTCTGTATGAGTTTGTTAATGTTCGGCACACTGAAAATAAGGTCGATCCCCCCCCCCATGTGTTGTCATTGCTACTCTCCGTGAGTATGCCCCGATTTGTTTGTTCAAGAAACACACAGTCTCTGTCTCCGGGGGGTTAATCTTCTTAACTGTTAGTGTGACTCTGTAGAAGTGGCACACGTGCTACAAATGGCACCACCACTTTTGTCGTGTGACGGTAACAGCCTTTAAGCATACATGTCGCTTGTTGTTGCTTGAGAGTTTTTTAAAAACTGTCCTCAATTCACCTCGACCTGAAGCTGTCAGGCCTGATGGAGGACTTGCTTTTTTAAATCAACATGAATGAGCTATTGAAATGGGATTGTATGTTACTACTACGTTCCAAACAAAATATGGCGGTCATGGTTTTGCCAGAAGCCAGAGGAGGTCCAAGAGATCACATCTGGGGAAATAAAAGAAAAGTGTGTGTGTGTGTGTGTGTGTGTGTGTGTGTGTGTGTGTGTGTGTGTGTGTGTGTGTACTAGAAATACAATGGTGTGTTTGCAACGGTTATTGGTACATCAAGACAAAAAAGTTTCACAGCTTATTAATTTCTCCCAATCCAGCATTACTTGCAAATAGTCAGTATTAATGTCACATGATTTCTGGGCTGTGTGTACGACTTTTTGCCTGAATTCTTAATGTATCATATGCAAAATCTTTGTCTTCTGTTCTTTTCTAAATTAATTAGTTTGTTCTTGTTTCCTCCAAATAGTTATTTCTGCTGTTGTATGTGTTATTTTCCTTATTTCTCAATTTCCTTGTGTTTTGTTTACTTGCAGTGGTTTGGTGTTGTTGGTGATGGTTTATTTGTCATTTGCTTGCAGTGCGTTGAGCTCTCTCTGCTAACTTGAGTTATGAATGAAGTACACTTTAAGTGCCAAATAAGTTCTATATATCCTAGAGTTCATAAATCCTTTTCCTAAGTTAGACCAGGCTTTCAGAAATTCACAGAAACTTCTTCCTCATACCTGAAAATATGATATGAATGAGGTGCAAGATATTCATTTGACAGTAAGATCAGATGTTTCATACTTGCTTAACATTGTCATGAATAAATATAATCCCTCTCATTTTCTTGTCTTCTTCTGGCTCTCTTTCAGGTATGGAGCCCAGCAACTAAGCCTCAGTAAACTAGTTCCTCATCTCTGCTCTTTGAGTGGAGACCAGAACCCGCAGGTAAGACACAGTGCCTTTGCAATATGACACATAATCAACATATACATGGATATCTGTTTATACTGTCATTTCTGTAAATGAGTGTAAGTGGGTGGAGGTCATTGTATCGTTCTTGTATCAGTCTGTAGCTAAGCCTGTGGTTTAGTTCTCAGCATCTAGAGTGTTGGCAGGGATCTTAAGGCAGCTCAGTGATTATTACTGTTATTAGTGAGGAGATGGGCTCTGTAGAGTCCCCTACCCAGCTTCACTGCTGAATCGTGAGCACCAGCACCCAACCATTATCCCACACAGAAGTACTAGCTGAATGTGTGATTGAGAGAGAGACGGATAGAGAGAGGTTGTTTTAAACTCCTGTGGAGTTGCACCCCGAAACCGAAATCTGCTCCTATCGTCTACCCAATGATTATCTACCCACATACTGTCCCGACCAATCAACATCCTCAACAGGCAGAGAATCCCTTTAACAGCATCCCATTACCCAATCACAACAGTGCTCAAAACATGACCAGCAAATCAGATGTCTCCCAGTAGTGGGATGAGTATGGGCCCTTAAGGGTATATTTTGAATGTGTTTACGTTTACAACCCTTGATGCAGTGTAATCAGACAGTGGAGAAAGAGGGTAATCTGTATGGAATTATTATGGAAAATTAACTGTAATCCTAAATACACACACCATTTCATGGTATACTAGTATAGTGTGAAGTCCTTTTCTGTGTGCGTCTACATGTGTATGTTTGTGTGTGTAGGACTTTTAACTTGGTTAATGTCTGCTGTCTGTAGGTACGTGAGGCCTCCATAACAACATTGGTGGATATTTATCGCCACGTTGGAGACAAGGTCAGAATCGACCTGGGAAAGAGAGGACTCCCTGCTGCACGGTGAGTTTATTTGTGTGTGTGTGTGTGTGTGTGTGTGTGTGTGTGTGTGTGTGTGTGTGTGTGTGTGTGTGTGTGTGTGTGTGTGTGTGTGTGTGTGTGTGTGTGTGTGTGTGTGTGTGTGTGTGTGTGTGTGTGTGTGTGTGTGTGTGTGTGTGTGTGCGCACTCTGCACAGCGGGGATGAGTTGTGTGGAGGGTCTGTGGGTCCCGTGGCCTTGGCACTCAGTCTGTCCCAGGCCACACCATGCACCACTCTGCCCTTCACACACACAGAGGCACTTTCATCCAGAGCACAATACTGACTGACTGGGGGGGGGCGGGGGGCGCAGATGGGGGTACAAAGGCGTTTGGGTGGAGTAACAGAGTTGGGGGAAAAACTGGAGAAAGTGTGTGTGTTCATGTCATCTGAAGAGGTCCATTGAGTGGTTTCGTCCTTCCTTGGTCGTCCTGGTTACATGTTCTGGGTTGAGGGTTATTCTAAGCACACAGTGACCCCCCCCTTCCCTCTATCTCCCATGTGTGAGATCTGAGCAGCAGCCAGTGTTGTGTGCTGACTGCTCAGTATGAGTCTTGCGTCTGTGAATGCTGGCTGTGGCCATGTGTCATGTGTTGCGCATATTAAGCCTGTTGGTCTCCAGTGTAAACACGCTGTCTGTGTATGTAGGATTTATGCAGACTGGTGTGTGTCTGTCCCCTTAGGTTATATGTCGAGGTCTGACAGATGCAGTGATTTAGGTCTGAAACCAATGCTTGTTCACTTAATATGAAATTCTTTAAAGTACACTGAAATTCATACATGCATGAATTGTTACTTTACTGATAATATTGGAGCACTGTTATGAAGGCTAGGTGGAGATTTAGTGTGTTTATGTTAGTATATGGTTGCTGGGTGGAATGCAGGGCTGCAGACAGGCTGACCGGATCACATATCAACCCTGTAGAGCCAGCATCAGATAATGGAGAGAAAGGGGTTGTTGTGACAGAGTGTAGAGGTGGAAAGGTGGTGAGAGCATTAGAGAAAGCAAAAGGGTTAAAAGTAAGAAGTTGACCAAAGCACTATTATTATATCATTTAAACACTCAAAGACCCATGTTCAACCCATGTTGGAAATTGCCTGTATCTGAGTCTACAGTACTACATCAAACGCACAGTTGTGTTTTATTTTGTTTGTATGAAAAGTTGTTTACATTACCTACCCAAATAACTGGGGGTAGGCCTGGAGGCTGTGGCTAATGTGTATAATTAGATTTTTTTCATGCAGTTGAGGACAATCTGAAGGCTAATCCACGTAGAAAATGCTTTTAGAAGTGTTTCTAACGTCACTGGAACAGTTAGATTTGATCAAATGTATCAATCAACACGGAGTCCAAGACAAGTCTGTCACCCCGGGGATCCTCCATGTTTTTTATGCTGCAAGTTTAGTTTTTTCCTCTGGCTTGCTTAGTGAAATGTAATCTCCACAGCCAGCTGTTTAATCCACACACATTTGTTTTTAAATTCTTAAATGATAATGATTGATCAAGGAAGGCTCTCAGTGTGGTGGTGAGTTTCATTATGTGGCATATTCTGGCATTTCCTTCAACTCATATATCACTAATAACAGTGCTGATTTCTTCCTGTTAAGCCTCCGTCAGCCTGGTAAAGACACTTGTCCTTTCAGCCTCTCAGGAGCTGCTGCTGACAGACAGACAGTTAGTCCTGATGACAGATACAGCCAAACGTAGGCCAGACTCGTTCTGGACTGAACTGGCCAAACGCGTTAGTAGTGCCTACTCGCCACTCACGCCCCTTTTTGAATTGTAATTTGTTATATAAAAGCAAATGCATTGTAATAAGTAAACCAAAGACCTACAGTTCTGAAATACTGTAAATGTGACAATTTAAAGTTGTTGGAGATGTGCAAGCATTTATAGATAATAAGATCAGCATCTATAGTATGTGAATACTGGCATAGTATGTGAATACTATAGATACTATTGAATTTAACAGCCTGGTAATGAAGGTTAAAGTATGAAGTTTACAGACTGTGTCAGTTGAATGATAACGAAGGTTATCACACAAAATTAGGTTTGTCCCTAAAAGTGTCCCAGAATTCTCAGAACAGCATTGGAAAATAGTTTCATTTCCAGGTCAGTTCATCTAGTCAGTGTTCAGCACAACGGTAAACAGTGTATGTTAGTCAGTGTGGGATGAGATCACTCATTTAGACTTCACTCAACAGTAAACCCGATAACCTCTTTCAGACAGATAGTGGCACAGGTTAAACCTGCTTTGGCAGTCAGTCTGAATGGGTCAGTATGAACCATCTGACCTGGCAGTTTGACCCAGCTCGCCCTGCCCTGCGTTCAGTGCGGATCAGATGCTACCAGGATTTCTTTGTTTGTGTTTGCATTACAGATAGTTTTATTGATCAGTATTGTTATTGAACATCATGTCTCCCTGATGTGCAGAGAGAACTAAAATGTAACTATAGTATTTCTCTGTACTGTAATAGTGTTTGTGTTTCTAAGGTCTTGCAGTGATGTGAATGGATATACTGTTGTAGATGTTAGTCTCTACAGTAACAACAAGGGATTAACCTTTGACAGTCTCCCATCAGTGGGTCAAATACTGGTTGAATAATCATTCGGTAGACCTGCCTCGAGCACACATTTGTGTTTGAGCGGGAGAGGAACTGAAAGGTGTGGGTCACCCTGTCTCCGGGTGACCCCTTTTCAATGACAGTTGATCTGTGTCTGCTACAGATTGAGAGCTCAGTGTGAAAGGTGCAGCGGTGAGAAGATGGGATCCTTGAATTAGGAAATGTGAAGAGGGAGGTGGGAGTTAAAAAGAGGAATAGAAGGGAGGGAGGGAATACAGGCAAGTGGGGTGAGAAGGAGAGACGTAGAGGGGGGAGGAGCATCCTTTCTTTCTGTCTGCCGCTAGCTGTACAGCCCCTCCCCCTCTGGTGTGTGCGTGTGTGTGCATGTGTGTCTGGGTATAAGAGGGAGGTTATGTAAAGGGTAACTAAATCTCTTTGCTGCCTGTCACACAAACTGGCCCACTTGTCTCTCTCTCTCACACTCACACACACAAAGACCCTGTCTGAGATTTAACTCTTTGTAGTGCTGTGGAGGTTACTCAGATGAATTTTGTGTGCTTAGCATACAGTACATATATGTGACAGTAGGTGGTGCTTTGTCGTATGCCCGTAGCATGCTTTGGTTTCTCGTTGTTTGGCTCCTTCTCTTTCACTCACTCCCTCCCTCCCTCCTCCTGTCTTCCCGTCTTCCCTCCTCCCTTCCTCTTGGAGCCACTGCACCATGTTGGTTACAAAGAGCTGAGGGAAGCCGAGGACCGGAGTGTGTCACTAGCATGGGAGCTAAGGCAACGTTGCGCAGCAACGCAGCAACCTATTAATCAGTCAACTGGGAAATACTGAGGCAAATGAAGACTAAGGGCTGGGCTGTTTCTGAACAGAATAGGCAAATTAAAATGCTAATGAAGGAAAGTGGACCACGTGAAAATGTTGCACGGCTGAGGTGCCCGTTGCAACGCTAATCGTCACTTATCAGGACCTGCTAAGCTGTCTGGTAGTTGTGGGCACCAAAAGACAGAGACAGACAGACAGACAGACAGAGGGCGGTGTGTATGACTCTTGTTCTTGCTTTTGGAAAGGAGACATTAGGGCATGTTACTGGACGTGGGTCATTGTGTCTGTGTTGTGTTATCTTTACACCAGTCATATGTAGACACTGCTCAGTGTGCAGGAGACGTTTAAGGCTATTATTTGTGCAAAGATGTTATTTTAGCTTGACTTGTTATTTGGGGGAAGATGTCTGCCTTATTAACATGCCGAAAGTCTCACCTGTGTGTGTGTTTGTTGCTGAGCAGGATGTCAGGAGGACATGTCGTGTTTCTGCTGCAGCTTCATGAGTGTGACTGGCATGATGGACACACCCACCCGCAGACAGACAGACAAGACAGATAGGCTGTCCACATGTTGCTGCTGCTGATACTTTCACTTAGGATTCACAGCACCTTGCCTGTCTCTAGGTCAAAATTGGTGTGGCTGTGTGTGGGATCCATCTGTGTGCATTTTCTTTGTCATGATCTTGTCAGTGAAGATAGTTGAGTTAGGGCTGCACGATATGGTAAAAACGCAAAATTGCTGAAAATAATGTGAAATTTTTGGGGTGTGTACCAAATAAATTGGTTGTCTTAAATCAGGAGAACAAGATTTGTAGACCAGGGTGTTAGTACCTCATTATCATGCTGTTCTTTCGCACATTTTACCTTTCTATCAAAAAATTGGAGCATCTGCAATGCTAATTTTTTGTGATTTCGATAATATTTCGATTGATTGTGCAGCTCTAGATTGAGTATGGTTTTTTCAAATTCACTCTCATTTGTCAATTTCTCGATTTTCTGCAATTATAATGATTTCATTGGCTTTGTTATGTATGAATGTGCTTTGGTCTCTAACCTTTTTTCTCTTTCTCTCCAGGTTACAGACGTTATTTGCTCGTTTTGATGAAGCCTTGAATTCAGGCAACATGGCTCTCAGCCCGAGTCACGGTCAGTGCCTTTTCTCATTTATTTTACTACTGTTGTATTGGCTTCTGAGAGCCAACAACAGTATTGTGTAGTCATGTTGTGAACATGATTTTACTGTTGTCAGGTATTCGGTGTGTATTTGAAAAAGGAAGCAGAGAGAGTGGGAATGTGTCTGTCTGTGTGTGTGTGTGTGTGTGTGTGTGTGTGTGTGTGTGTGTCGATGGGCCCCTGTGCGTGTCTGTATGTGCATGTGCTCTTGTGGTTGTGTTAGTTTGTTGCTATGAGCTCCTGTAAGAGGACCTAACAGGATTAATGGTTTAATCTGTGTGTGTGTGTGTGTGTGTGTGTGTGTGTGTGTGTGTGTGTGTGTGTGTGTGTGTGTGTGTGTGTGTGTGTGTGTGTGTGTGTGTGTGTGTGTGTGTGTGTGTGTGTGTGTGTGTGTGTGTGTGTGTGTGTGTGTGTGTGTGTGTGTGTGTTGCTTTGGGATTTCTGGCTGAGCCTGAGCTGAAGGCTACTGCTGAGTGTTTTGCTGTCCAATAGAAGAGTGGGCTGTGAAGCTCTGGGAGCCTCAGGCTCAGCCAGTGCTGTTTGACCATGGAAAGTTATAGTGGTATTGTTGACAATATTTCACTTTGTTGTTTTCACTTTTCAGAAAACAAAAGTTGTACAAGAAGAATAGAAAATGTGTGATTTCCAGATTTGATTATTATTTTTTGTGTGAAAAGTGTTTACTGAATATTGATCCACAAAGCCATCATCTTTGGTAGTTGGCAAGAGAAGAGATTCTGTTGTGCTCTGTCCACCAATAAATACATTGTTTTATAGGGAGGTAATCATTGCTGATACTGACCTTGGGGGCAAGCGGTTTGGAGATCAGCTATGATGTGACTGATCCAGATTCTGTCAGCGTCACAAAATGTTATGTTTCCGTTATCAGTTACATTCAGTCACGGCAGGCTGCCAACTCAGTTTTCTGTGCCACAGCGATCCCTGGCCTAATGTTACCACAATAGAAATAATTTCAATCTCAGTAGGTCAACATATTTCAAATTTGGGAAAAGGTCAACTTAATTCTTACAGTTTGTGACTTCAAGCTGAGTTTGTGCTCTCTGTAAGGTCAGTATGGTCTGTTGTTGGTGTCTAGCTGAGCCTGTATTTTGGCTGTAAGTACCTTTAGGCTGCCCTGTCACTGTATCTATCTATCTAACAGCGACAGCAGTGGTTGCTGCCTAGTCGGCTGTTTACTTGGAGAGAGAGACATGAAGAAGAGCTAAGGGCGTGTGGTGGATGTAGTTGCCATGATGCTGTCTCTGGTGGCAGCAGCAGCATGGAGGCAGTGTTACTTTTAACTGTCACCTCCCTAGGGTTTGGGAGCGAAGTTGTGTTTTTTTGGACCATGATTGTGTAGTTGTTTTGTTTGTTTTTTTCTTCTGTCATGTGCTAAGCCAGGCATGAAAGCGCAGCTTATTATTATCTAAATGGAATAATTTTTTGGACTATTTGCTCATTACTTTTCGTTAACAAAGGGAAGTAATAGCAGTAAACGTTGTCAGTGAAAAGTTTAAGAAACTGATGGATAGTCAACAAAACATGGAGTGGTGCTGTTATATTGTGTTTATCACAATGGATTGTAAATCATTCATTTTGGAGAATTAGGCCCACAGCACAAAACCACCCTCCACCCCTGAGACACTGAAAACTCTATACTTCACCTGCAGGGTAGGACAACTCTCCCTGCTTGCCTGAAAACAGCCTAGACAGCATTAAGAGACTAATGGAGCGGCTGACCTACTAGTTGAATGGCTTGACTTTTTCAAAACTATTACAGCAGCAGTTGTGACTCCTGGTAAACCAATCAAAATCTCTGCTTCTTTAGGCTGCTCCTTTTTTAAGAACTCCATATGTGTTGACTACTTATCCAAATCCCTGAGTAAACGTGAAGTGAAAGTGACTACAGATGCTCATCCGGGTGAATGTTGGCTGCACACCTTATTGTTTGGCCTTGGCTGCCCCCTCAAGTGTACTTAAGCTTCTTTCGTATTTCTCAGCTACTGCAGCTTGTCATGCCACGGTTGGCTGCTCAGAGTCAACAGTAAAGTGTAGGTGCATTTCAATTCCTGTCGAGCAGGGCTGGGACTAACTTTTCTGTCATTATTGAATACGCAGATTATTTTCCGTTTGGTCTATAATGTGAAAAATATATTCTTCACAAGTGTCAAAAGTGAAAGTGTCCTCTACACGTTACTTGTTTTTTTGTTTTGTTTTGTTAAATATCTTTTAAGCAGAAATGTCAGATATACTCTTATTCTCTTTCATTATCGTGTGTGACAGTGAACCTAACCTCCAGGTTTTAGACTATTAGTTGCTACACTAATCCCTACCTAGTGATTTGAAGACACTTTCAAATTTTTCACTTTTTTCTGACTTTTCTATCAGAGAGACAAAGAAAAACAAAACATTAAATCTTCACAATTATTATATATATATATATATATATATATATATATTTATTTATATATATATATATATATATATAAAATTATATTATTCTTGCTTTCAATTATCAAAAAAGTTGACTAATAGTTGTTTGTGTGTACTCCATGAAAACAGTAACTGATTTTATTCTTTCATATATTAAGCTAATTGTAATCTTTCTGTTGTGTTAATAAATAATGTTTGAGTCTGTGATTTTCCACAACTTGTCCTTGCCTTCTGAATTCATGTTTGGCACTCAACAAGTAACACTGGACAGCCCAAGGCTCACAGTTCACTCTATTCTTGGCGAGAAAATCTATAAAAAAAGGGTAGTGGAAGGTCAGAAACAGAGTGTGATGAGCATCAGCGGGGGTTTTTCTCTAAACACTACCAAGAACCTACCACAAATTTAACCTCAGAGTACAGGACACACACCCACACCACTAGCTGAAACACACGTACGCACACACAAATTTGTTCTTACTTGCCCTTGCCCCACATCTCTTTTAGGCCAGCTCTTGGCGTTTGCTCTGAAGGGTTTAAGGCAGCTGTTGCTGAGAGAAAAAGGGAGGGAGGTAAGCAGGGAGGGCAAAGGATTGAGGGAGGAAGCGGACAGAGATCTCTCGCAGTAGGCGAGTCACTGCGCTGTGCCTATCACTGCCTCTCCCTGATTCATCATGACAGAGACAGAGAGAGATTGAACAAACGAGAGTAGAGGAGATAGAGGAGAAAACAAAGGAGAGAGGAGAGGAGCGAATACAGACACAGACACAGACAACAGGAAGTTTCTTTCCATAACACACTATAACCATGGCAGTTGGGGATGATGGCAATGGTAAGTGTGTGTGTGTGTGTGTGTGTGTGTTGTGTGTGTGTGTGTGTGTGTGTGTGTGTGTGTGTGTGTGTGTGTGTGTGTAAAATCTCATCTGGCTGTGGATGCTGGCACTCAGACAAAGGCTTGTCAGCATATGGTTTTAGATTTAAATCAGCTTAAACTCAGAGCACTTTCACCCCAAGTGCTTTGATATAGACTACATCTGCGTGTGTGTGTGTGTGTGTGTGTGTGTGTGTGTGTGTGTGTGTGTGTGTGTGTGTGTGTGTGTGTGTGTGTGTAAAATGTATGTCCCCATCACACTGTGCTGTGTTTGTATTCGTCTAGATCTACAGTACAGGTCTCTATCCTACCGATTCATTGTTTTGTGTTAAAAAATAGGGTTTGTTTGGTCTCCTCTTTACAACTCATATAAAGGCTAGATAGGGGGTGGGGCATATCAGGGAGAGATGGTTGCTGTTATGACTTGCAGCCTGAGGTCTGACTTGAACCCAGAATGTCAGTCACAGCAACATGGTACAGTATGCACCTTAGCTATCCAAGCCAGCCAAAAGCTGACAGAGAATATTCTGTTACAGTTCTCAGTTTAGTTTGTTTTAGAATAACATTTTCTTCCGTTTTCTTGCTTCAGTAGCCTTTCAGTCTCTGCCCCTCCCCACTGAAACTTTTTCTGTTGTGGTAATATTGGGTCAAGTGTTGTTCTGTGTTCCTAATACATGTGTGCTTGGATTTTAAAGTAATAATTCCCACTGATTAATGTGTGCTTGGATTTTAAAGTAATAATTCCCACTGATTAATGATCGTTGTTAAGATTAGGTCCAATATAGCTCACTCTGCTTGTCTCCACTCCAGCCTCTAAGAGTGGGTTTCCTGCCAGATTAGACCAAAATATCTACCACAGTGTGACAGCAGAAAAAGGCATTTGTTTGGATGGATGTTAAATTTAGATGAAACATAATCGACACGGCTGGGAGAATTTCAGGTCTCTTCTCCTAGGACTCCTCTAAGAATTTCACATAGTGCAGCTCATGTCGTCTCATGCCATGGCTGTACAGTATATGGAGATAATGATGATAATAATAATGATATACCCTTTGTGTTTGCAGTCTAATAATAGCTACTTTCTTAGTTTTTATTTATGTGTCATGCAAAACATTTAGCCCATCCCAAATGGAATTACAAGACACTGCTATATGACATACATAACAGATATAAGAAAATGTCTTCAGGTAACGTATGTAACAGAAAAACATCAATAATATCATTAAATATACAAAAAATAATAGATTTCTAATAAACGATCCTCCACCAGCAGAACAAGCTTAAAGTTTATCCTGATATTGAGGTGATGTTTGTTGAAGACAGCACAGCTTCAAACTTTTATTAATCATTAATCAATGATCTCATTTGACAATTGACAACTAATTGATTATTAGTTATCTGTGTACCTCCTCTAGTGTGTGTGTGTGTCTGTGTGTCTGTGTGTGGAGGAAGCTTGTTTCAGTGTTTGTGTGAGTGAAAGTAAAGCATGTCAGTGCCGGTGGCGCCTCGCTAGCTTAACGTTATTTCGTCCAGTCTGAAAATTTGCTTGTGTGAATACAAAAACACACATACCGTAGAAAGCCCAGAGATATTGGGTGCCTTGCAAACTGACCATCAGTAGCAGCTTTCATTGCTTGCATAGTACTTCAGTGTTGACAGGGACTGACACACA